AAAAAAAAAAAAAACAAAAAAACCAGGGCTCTGTGAAATATATATAGTAGTTCTCATTCCTAACAGCATCTTTCCATAAAATTTATTAAAATGATATCTGGGCTGGGTGTGGTGGCTCACGCCTGTAATTCCAGCACTTTGGGAGGCTGAGGTGGGAGGATCACTTGAGCCCAGGAGTTCGAGGCTGCAGTGAGCTATGATGGCACCACTGCACTCCAGCCTGGGCAACAGGGCAAGACCCTGTTTCCAAAAAAAAAAAAAAGGATCTTTGCTTTTGTTGTTCTTCAGTTGATGGGTTGTGTAGGAAGAGTGATTACTTATGGAGTGTATTGTGGATTTTTTTTTTCCCCAATGAAAAAGTCAAACATCTGCAGAATAAAACACAAAGTCAATGGCACTGTGCTCAAACCTCTCATCCTCAGCCTCTCACCATTTCCCATCCCACCTGTTGTTAAACTACCCAGGATTGCTCTTCATTCCTCAAATGTGCCCTAATTCCCCAGCTCCATGACTTTCCTGAGGTAATTTCCTCTGCTGAGGTAATTTCCTTTCCGCTTCCCACGTCTACACTTGTGGAAATACTACTGGTCCTTCCAAGTCCAGCTTCAAACCCCTCCCCCTTAAAGCAAATTCGTCTCTTCCACCCTGTTCAAAGCTTTAAGACTTCCTCAAACTAAAATCGAAGCGAATTACAAAGGGATAAGCTTGGATTTTGTTATCTCTCACCTGCGAGAGCTTATATCGTCAATACTAACAGCGGATTTCATTGCTTTTCGTTAATCTTTCTAGGCGTACTTCTCCCGTTGAAGCATCATGTTATGATCTCCTACGACAACCTCACTGCATTTTTACGTTCTCATTTTTTCATAAACGGGGGATGAGATTTGAGAGATGAATGGTGGGGGTGGAGGTGGGTGGGGATTGTCTGAAGTCCTGGGCTCAGGCGATCCTCCCGCCGGACCCTCCCCGAGTAGCCAGGACTACAGAGCCGCGCCGCCACACCCACCTCAAGTCCTTCCACCTGGGCGAAATTTAAATCAGTTCAATTTTGAGCTTTGGGATTCTTACCT